TCAAAACCCCACAGAACCTTATTTATGGACAGACAGTTACTGTTACGCGGAGCCTTGTTATACAAGCTTTTCATCTGAGGATCTTGCAGCCTTCTGCTGCCTTTCTATTAGTGAGAGATGGGGTGTGAAGTCCGCAGGCCCTGCCAAGATTAGCCCATTCAATTATCTGCCTTCCTCCCATGTAATTCACTTAGGGCCACAGGTGGAGGCTCAGGCCCCGTGGCCGTCCGTGCCGGGCGCTCAGGGGGGAGGAGAGAAGGAAGGAGTTTAGGTGGTGGTAGCATCCCGGGACATAACAGCCATCCACGTTTCACTGCCTTACCAAAACAAAGTGGATGCCGCAATTATCCCGTTCCTAAACAAACCCCAAAACCCAACCGGGCCGACTGCAACAAAGAGAGGGCCTTTTTACTGCTGTTTATTTTTATTTTGTATTCTTTAGCTTTTTAGATATTCCTGGCATGCAAGTCAGGCTCCGTGTAACAAGCAGCTGCATTTAGTTAAGGATTTCGAAGAGTTCCGCCACCCCCCCCCCCCCCCCCCCGCAAGCCCCACTCCCCACCATCCCCTCCTCCTGGACTCCAGAAAACTGTCTCAGACTCCTAGAAGACTATTCCTTTCTCTCCGGGTGTCCACAGCACAGGCTGTCCTGTGACACCTCGGAGGCCAGGCCAGGCCAGGCTGAGGCCCTTCGGTTTGAGAAAGAGGCCTCAGAGACTTGAGTGTTTCCCAGCTGGCGCCGGATCTGCCAAGGCCTGGTCCACTCGGGCTCTTGGAGCTGGTCAGCCAGCCCTCCCGCTAGGGAGCGCTCCGAGAAATCAGCCCACTCAGCGAGCACCCGAGCGGGATGCGGAGATGCAAAGGCAGGGGCACTGAGTCAAAGTCCATCTCCTCGCTGGTGGGGAGGACCCGCCAGAGACACTCCCCAAACCGCATCAAAGTTGCAGTTCATTACAACAATGTAACTCCTCCGATCACAGGGGCAGACCGTGGAGGCCATGGCCAGGCTCTCTGTCCGTTACAGCAAGACCAGCTCAGGGAACTCCAGGGCAGGAAGCAAAATTGAAATGGACTGTCTCCAATCATCTCTTAGAACCTCTAGATATGGCTCAGAAAACGTCCCTCTGCCGCTCTTGGAAATCCTGGGACTACGGCACCTTTGGCTCATCCATAAAGAGAGTGTGAATCTTAAGACTTAAACTAGGAGAGGCTGTCTAGGGCAGCGGTTCAGATAAGAGCATGATCTCCTAGAGTTTGTAAACCCAGGCATGTCATTTCCTAGCTGTGTGACCTTGAGGAAGTAACTTAACCTCTCTGTGCCTAAATTAAAATAAGCTAATTAGGCCGTCTCCCTCATAGGGTTGTTGTGAGGATTCAGTGAGTCAATACTTGCAAAATGCTTAGAATGGCAACTGGCCCACTGTAAGGATTACGCAAGTGTTTGTTAAATAAATCGTACAGACAGAGGCATCTCAGAATGCTTGGTTTCAGGGAAATACATTCTTAGCTGAGGTCAAAGGACTTGGCACCATTCTTCAGCTTCTCCAGGCCCAAGAACAGCCGGCCTGGCGCAAGAGGAACTGGAAAGGGAGGTGAAGTAGAGCTGCAAGGACTCTGCAGATCTGGGCTACGGCCAGGACCCGCCACCGACCCTCAACCCCCGCAGCCTACCCAGGAAAGCAACCCACCGCCCCAGGCAGCCAACAGTCCAAATCAATGGTGCCTATCTTTTCAGGGTTGCAGTTTTCTTGGAAAATTAGATTACAGCTAGAAAGATAGAACCACAAAAATGCACATGAAATTTTGTATATTATTTCGGGGGGTTCACATATCCTCAATTTCGGGTACCCCAAGTTCAGACCCTCTGGGCTGGGTGCTCTTCTCCAGCACTCGGCACCCAGGGTTCCCCTTAAATCCCACGACGCTCGGGCAAGGCTCAGAGAAACTAATGGACACGCCCAGTGTGTGGCAGAGGAAAGGTTCGAACCCACGTCTGTCAAACTCCAGCGCCTGTGCTCACAACCGCTGAGCTCTACTACACTCCCTTCAAACTGGAAGATGGGGCGAGAAAAGGGAAAGTCCATGAAAATAGGCCACGTTGCATTTTCACTAAGAAAAGCAAATAACACCACAATTTTACACATGACCAAAAAAGTTATTCTCCATTCATTCAACGAAAACCTATGGACCCTTACTATACATGTATGCACACATATGCCATTTATATGTAGACGTACATTTACGTTAATATATACACATAGTCTAGAAAGCATTCCGTTCTCTATAGGACGCTGTGTAAAATTTTCAAAAATATTTGAAATGTGCTGTGTGGTCACCATCAAACCACAGCCAAATTGGATACTAATGGATGCAAGTGACACACCATTTAGAAACTTTCAAGTCTAATTTGAGGCCTATGCTCACCACGCGGGAGATGGAGGGGCAAAAGACAGCCAACATTAAGTTTTTAAAATGATTCCTAACCAAATATCAGAAAGATAATCGCAGGCACCAGAGGAGCAAAACGGCCCCCCAGATATGCTGAAGCAACACTGGAAATGAAATATTTCCAACACACTGCCAGAAGCAGTGTGACCACACCCTTGGGCCACTGGGCCTCTGTGTGGTCCCCCCACCCCCCCCCCCCCCGCTCCCCTCGAGGATTTTTGGCTGTCTCCAGTCAAGTTGGGGCCGGCTGACTTGGCCCTCAGTGTTTTCACCAGGAAAGCTGACAGTCTTATTGCCCTCAAGAGGCTCCTAATCTAAAAGTTGACAGGACACACACCCATTACACTGGCCTTGGAAGGTTCACGAAATAACAGCAAACACAGTAGCAGGCCACTACCTCTGACCGCCACCAAACCACCGCATAGACGGGATTCTGAGAAAGGCCCGGTGGGTTCCAACGGCCCTGAGCTCTGGGCACAGTTACAACGGCTTCAGCTTCTTAGAGAGGTTTAGCTCTGGGGAGGTAAGAGGTGGATGGGGAGATGAATGATGAAGAGACCAGAAAAGATATGTTTAAAGGTGTGCTCCTCCTGGCTAACAAAATACAAAAGTGATGGGAGAAATGCTGAGCACTTTTTTAAAAATAAATAAATGAAACACATCTCCCCATAAGCTGATTTCCTGAGCCAGGGGCTGAATGCGTTACCTTAAGAATCTTGGATCAGACAAGAAAGCAAATCTGAGTTCCACCAGAAGCCTTGTCCCCAGTGAAAAGATCAAACATTCACAGAAACAGAAAGGGATTTCTGAGATGACAAAGAAGACGATAATAACAGATTCGAGCTCATTATTAAAGAGTTTGGAATAGGCAATACTCTTTTTTAAAAATATTTTTAAAAGCCTGTAGACAGTTAAACCAGACAGAATTTAGGTGACTGCTGATAACAAAACTGTCTTTACACTCAGCAGACTCGCCGCTGGGACAAGCATTTTAAGGCAGATAACCAAAGAAAGGTGCACCCCTGGCCCTCCATCCCCCACCATCGAAAAGGGACCACTGTTGAAAGGATAGATAGAAGTAAGAGCCCACAGAGGATATAACCGGATTAATGGAGGCCCCAGGCCGGGAGCCGACCTTGGCTACAGTCAACCCTGGGGCATCTCCACCTGAATTTGCTGGGCACCCTGGCGTCAGAAGGGGCTTTACAATGTGTGGGCAGCACGGCCCCTTTTTTACTTTCCACCCAGGTGTCCTGGCAGGGGGCCAGATGTTTGGCATCACGAAGCAAACACTCTGTGACCGGGCTGTTTACATTTCATTAGGATTTCTCATCAGGAAGGTGCACTCCCTGCTGACGCACATCTTAATTACAATTAGGAGCTGTGTTTACCCAGCAGCCTCCAGGCTGGCACCACCGTGCGAGAGGGTCAGCTTCAGAGCCATCCTCAGAAAACGTGGCTCCCACTTGCCCAAAATCAACTCTAGGAAATCAAAGTTCACACACACCTTCCATGAGCCAGATTTTAGTAAAAGCTAATCCTGTAGTCAGCCTGTGTAGCGAATAGATCTTTACCCCTCGGCTCCTAAACAGCTCCGAGCCTTTTCTTCTCCTAAGCACAGCGCTAACTTAAAAATGAAAGATGCATGATAAAAGAGCAGAGCCCTACTTATCCGCAGGGCCCGCGCCCGCCGGAGCGGGGGAGGGAGGAATCCGGGGGCTCCAGCACCCCCTGAAGGGATGCATGTTAAAAGTGAGGCCCGAGACCCCGGGGACTGTAACCAACTCTCCCCCTCCAACCCTGGAAGAATGACGCGGCTGTCCCGGGGGACGCAGCGGGGCTTCCCTCTCATTGTGTGCCGGCTCGGACGCCGCAGGACCAGGCTCCCCGCCGCGAGCCAAGACGCCCGGGCTTTCGGCGGAGCCTTTCTCTAACTGTCGCGATTGTCTTTGGAGATTACCAAAATCAAGTATGCATTAGTGGCTTTTCCCCCTTGTTTGTAACACACACACACGCACACACACGTGCACACTCCGAGCTCTCCGCAGCAGCAGGCCGCCCCTGACAGCACAGTTTGCAAAGTGGCGGCGGCCGCGCACACGCTGTGGCCTCCATCGCGACCGTCCGAGGGCCGGGAGCCGGGGCGGAGGGGAGGCGAGGCGGCCGGGCCCCGGAGGCAAGGCTTTTGTCCGGGTCGGCGCGGACAGCCGGGGCTCCCCCAGGCACCGCGGCAAATACAGCTCCCCGCGGACCGCGCTCCCCGGGACGGCGGCTCCCCGGGGCGGGGCAGACTCGCCGGACCCCGCGGGGCGCGCTGGGGGTCCCCGAGGGATGGGGGACCAAGCGCACGAAAGTGCCCGCGGCGCCCCACGACCCCCAGCCCCCCGGGCTTCCTGCCAGCGCTGACAACCGCCGCGGGGCGCCGAGCGAGGGGTCGGGGCGGCCCCGCGCGCGGCCGGCTCCAGGGCCCCCGCCGCCTCCCCGGCGCCCCGGGTCGCGTCCGCCCCGAGCGCGGCCCCGCGCCGGGGGACAGCAGGCGCGGCGGCTCTTACCTTGGGCAGCGGCCCCGCGCGCCGCCAGCAGCAGCGGCAGCAGCAGCACCGGGAGCGGCGGGCGCGCCCCGAGGCGGCCCGGCCGCAGCATCCCTCCTCTCGCGGCGGCGGCGGCGGCGGCTCCCGGGCCGCGCGCAGCACATCCACGGGCTCGGCCCGGCCGCGCTCCCCGCAGGACGGCGGGGGCGTCTGCGAAGCCCTTTGTCCCTCTGCCCTCCGCCTCGCCTCGCCGGCCGGCCCGGGCTGTCGCAGCGGCGCTGGCGGAGGGCGGGCTCGCGGCTCGGGCTCCGGGCAGGAAGAGCGCGCCTGGCCGGGCCGCCGTCCGGCTCCCTCGGCGGCCTGCGGCGCTCCTCCCTCGGCGCTCGCGCCCCTGCGCTCAGCCTCCCCAACTTGTCACTTTCCCCAACTCCGCGGCCCCGCGCCCACCCCGACCAATGGCAGCCGGGCCCAGGCCGGCGACCCAGCGCCCTCTGCTGCCGCCTCCGCTCCCGGCGCCGCCCGCACCCTCCCCTCCCCTCCCCCACGGCTCCCGCCCGCGGCCGAGCCCGGGACCCAGGGACACCCAGGCTCCAAACGGGTGGTGGCTGAGTGGCTTAGTGAGGAGGCGAGATTCCAGCAGTCTGAGCGCTGCCACTCTTAGCCGTGTGACCCCGGGGAATGGAACATTTATGGATATCATACAGTTTCTCCTTTGATTCCCTCTTTGACCCAAGTCGCTTATGTTTCCCCGTTTTGTCGTTAAATTCTAGTTTCGTTGCATTGAAATCAATGTCATCTGCGCTGCTTCCTTCGGGAGACCGATTGAGGATCTCTGGGGTCAGTTTTTGTTCACAGCCTGTGGTCTCTTGCAAGAAGGTGTTTCTCTGTCTTCAGAAGGTGGAGATAGATGGCTAGCTGAATCTGATCTTCCTTATACGGATGGTGTTATTTAGGTCTTCTGTCTCTGCATGTTTTTTTGTCCAGCTGCTCTGCCATGGGCCAAGGGGGTCCTTAACGTCTCCTACAGACAGTCCGTTTTTATCTCTTTCTTCTGGTTGAGCATTATGGGGTCTGTGACCCGTGAGTAGTCACTACGCTTCCACTGTGCCTGTGGAGAAAGTGGGCCCTTGATCACATGCAGTGGTGAGGGCCTGCAGTGTTCCAGGCCCTGCTTTAGGCTCTGAGGATGCACGAGCCACAGGGACCCCAGACAGAAGCCCACAGTTTATTGATAATCCCTTAGTGAATGCCTCCTGTTTGCATAGTGCTTTGTGCGGTCTGCTCATAAATCTTCCCTTGACACTTTAAAAAAAGCCATCACAAATTCGTATACCCCTTTACGCTTTTGCAGAGATTATCCCCATGTTAAAGTTTTAGAAATTGAAATGCAAAAAGAGAGTAAGGGACTTGCCGTGGTCACACAGACAATGGGCGGCCAAGGCCCCATCTCTACCATGTTGGGGGTCGAGGCTCTTGGGCAGAGCCTGGCATAGACGAGCACTCAGTCGGTGGCAGGGGGCATCACTGGGCAGCAGTAGCCTCTAAGAGCCCAGATGTAGGATCTTATCACGAGCAGTCACCTCACTGAGGGCAAGGACCCCATGTGGCAGGTCACAGACTCACAGACCTCTGCCTCAGGCAGGTGAATGACTAACCCATGCGGGACAAACAGTCGCTTATCCTTCTCCAAGACTTCAAGGCAGGAGTGTCCCCAGCTGCCACAGTTGCTTTCCCCTTTCTGTCACTCTGACCTGAGGTCAAGGAATGATAGACATAGAGGCCTTGGGTCAACCAGTTCGGCACCCGCATAGGTCTGCCTTCCAAGGTTCTCTGCCTGAGACCCAGCCGGTCCTGTGTCAATCATCTCCAGTCACTCGCCCCAGGAACTTACTGCACAAGGTCCTCTTGTTGGGAAACTGTCTTTGATGGTCAGCCTCAGCATACCATGGCCAGCAGTCAGAGGGGACCCGGTGACACCATATTGCTGAAGAGTCTTCTGTCTTCCGCAGGACGGCGCACAATGGCCAGACAAGGAGGCTTCCCTGCTCACACCCTCCCCCAGCCCACACCCCGGAGTGGCCGGGCCCAGGTGTCTCAGGTAACAGACTGCCGATACAGAACTTAATGGCCCTTTTATCAGGACCTAAACCTTTCAGGAACTTAATCACTGGCTCATGGACGTGAGGAATGTGACGGCTGGACAGGGCCTTGGGGATTAACTAGTACACCCCTCAACATTTATAGCGGAGAAACATGGGACTGGGGAGGTGAAACTTCCCAACCCAAGGTCACACAGCCGCCAGAGCCAAAACTGGAGCCCACTCCAACCAGTCCGTCCCGGGAAGGCCCTCCATCAGTCACCCCACGTCCCTTGACATCGAGCTGTAACGTACTAGCTCCCAAAGGACAGGTCAGAAAAGGCTCTTCCTGTTTAAAAAACAAAAGACAAAGGAAGTATTTATGCAAGTTCAGTAAATGCCAGTGTTTAGGAGCACAGGCTGGGGACCAGACTGCCTGGCTCACACTCCAGTTTTTCTGGTCTCTGCCAAGTGACTGTGGACAAATATCCTTGTCCCTCCGTGTTTCAGTCTTGTTTGTAAAGTGGTGATGAGAATGAGTACCTCTCCCATAGTCTCGTGAATATTCAATGAGTTAACGCATATAAAGTGCTTCTATGAGGATCTGGCCCAGAGCAGGCCCTTACTAAATGTCGGTATTACTATATTATTATTATTATTATTTACAAACGTGAGCTTGCTTAGACCATCAGCATTCCTATGAGGTCAGTCTTGTCTCTGCTATTTACAGCTGAAGAGACTAAAGTGAAATGAGGTTAAGAAACTTGCCCAAAGTCACAAAATTAAGGCAAAAAGATAGGACTCTGGCCTAAGTCATAGCTCTCTCTGCATTGTACTCACACAGATGTGCAGAAAGCTACGGGCAGGGAAACATTCCCCTTGCAGGCCTCCTGTGGCCCTGCCCTCTCCCTTACCCAAGCCAGAAGCTGATGCAAACGGATTCGAGAATCCAAGAGGAGCCACTCTCTTCCGGGGTCCTGGCTCAAACTCTAAGGTTGGGGCATTCACTTCATTTAGGCAACAACTACAGCCATTAGTTATTCTTCTTGGAGAATGCAAGTGGCGTGATGGTTACAAGAGAGGACTCAGGAGCCAGATTACGTGGATTCCAATCCTGGCTTTGCTTTTAATGGCTCTGACGCCTTGAGTCCTGTACTTCGGGTTCCTCATCTCTAAAGAGGCCTGATGGTAATACCTACCATCCACCTTTGTTCTGAAGACTAAATTGGTTCATACTTCTAAAGGGTTTAACACAGTGCCCATCACACAGTAAGCAGCCAATATTTATTAGCTATTATTATTAGTGATTAAGAACATGGGCTCCAGCATTAGACAGATCTGCCTAGATGACCTGAACAAGTTATTTTACTTCTCTATGATACAATATTCTCATCTGGGAAAAAAAAGATATAATAATAGACCCGATCATATAACAACATCTTAAGTATAAAATAATACATTTTATTATACCTTGACTATAAAGGTCTCGAGACAGTGCTTGGCATGGTACCTATTCAATAAATTGTTTCTTCTTCTTCTTTTTTCTCCAAACCTCTACTTTATGGGGTGAGAGAGGGACATAAATTTGGTAATCATACAGCCTGGATTTCTAGCACAGTCTTGATCTCATATATTTTGTTCCATGAGCTTCACAGGTCCATTTGTATAGTGGGTAAGATAAATGATGACAAGACAAATTGGCTTGCCTGTTGCATCCCAACGTTATTCTCTGCTCATCTGTGCTGTGTCTCTGAGCTGCCCTGTGTGCGTGTAATAGCTCAGCAAGCTAGCATCATCAACAGAAGTCCATTACCAAGAAATTCAAGAACAGTAAGGGATTTTTAGTAAAACTATAAAACTTCTGAAAGAAAACATAGGAGAAAATCTTAGTGATCTTGAGTTTAGTAAAGATTTATTAAAGAAGACACAACAACCATGAATCATAAAAGAAAACAATTGATAGACTTCTTCAAAATTAAAAGCTTTTGCTTTTCAAAAGATATTGTTATGAAAACAAAAAGGTAAGCCACAGACTGGGGTAAAATATTTGCAAAGTTCTGTCTGCCCAGGGACTCGCATCTAGGAAATACAAAGAACTAACTCATAACTCAACGATAAAATGAGAACCTAATTTTTAAAATGGGCCAAATAGTTTAACAAACACCACCATAGAAGATATACAGATGACAAAGAAACACGTGAAAAGATGTTCAACATCATTAATAATCAGAGAAATGCAAACTAAAACCATAAGGAGATACCACGACGTACCCACTAGAGCGGCTAAAGTTAAAAAGATGAACCATGTCAAGTATTGGCAAAGATGTGGAGCAGATGGAACTTTCATACGTTGCTGATAGAAATGCAAAATGGTATAAGCACTTTGGAAAACAGTTTTGCAGTTAAAACCTAAACCTACACCTGTCATATGGTCCATGTGGAGGTGTTTGCCCAGGACAAATGAAAACATGTCCATACAAAGACTTTGCCATGAAAATGTATAGCAGCTTTATCTGTAATGGCCCCCAACTGGAAGCAACCCAAATGTCCGCCAACAGGTGGATAGACAAACTCTGGTTTACTCATAAATGAACCACTACTCATCAGTACAAAGGAATAAATTATTAATAAATATAATAACATGGATGAATATATAATTAATTATGCTGAAAGAAGCTAGATTTTTTTTTTTAACAAATATACTACAAGATTCCACTTATATAAAATTCTAGAAGATGCAAACTAATCTATATTGACAAAAAGCAGATCGGTTGTTTATCTGGGGAGAGAAATGGAAGATGGGTGACAGACAGGCGTAGGGATTCTTATGGGAGTGATGGATATGTTTGTTATCTTGATGGTGGTGATAGTTTCACAGGTATATATGTCAAAACTCACTCAAGCAGTCTGGGTCCAATCAGGATTTGGAAACCACACAGTAGACTAAACAGGAGAAGTTTAATAGAAAGAATTATTAACTATGATAAAAGAGTAACTGTAAGATGTTAGAATAACATATATTACCCTAAGGTGGAGGGAGAGTACGCCAAGAAGGACAAACTGAGAAGGGTTCAGAACCTCTCTGGAGAAGGTATGGTTCAGCGCACTGGATAGCAGAGGTTCCCTGGCTTGGCCAGGCTAAAGCAAGCAATAGGCCCCGCTGTGGAGTGCAGGCAGGGGAGAGCAACTGACGGCGTGGGCTTGCAGCAGGTGTCGGGGCGCTGGAGTGGCCAGGAGCCCTTCAGAGCTTGTGGGCAGCATGGGGCTTGCAGAGGGAGCAGCAGGTCTGTGTGTCCCGCTCCAACCCCCAGGGGCACAGGTGGGCTGTGGGGACTTACAGAAGGAGCAGCTGCTCGATGTGTGGCCCTCTGA